CTCAGGAGCTTTGGATCTACTTTTCCAAAGTTTCCACGCTCCGTTCCAACGTTAATCCGGAACACGATGGAAAGCGGTGGTTGGCGGGATCGAGACCAGCCACCAGCTAAGGGCGACCGAGAAGCGTCTTCGGGACCGGAGCTGACACGCGGAGCCCGAGCGGTGAAACTTGGCGAAAGGTTCCAAAAGAAACCCGTCGTTCAAGCTGAAGACGCAAAGCAACTACACAGCGGCCCCGTGCCCCGGAGGGACCCGGAGACCGGCGGCAGTGGGGAGAAGGGCCGGCGTGGGGGCGGGAGGCGGAGGCGGCCCGGGACTCGGACAGCGGCGCTCCCCGCGCGCCTCCCGGAGCCACCAACCCCCGAGCGGCCGCGCGAACCCGCCTCGGCCGCGGGCAGCGCGCCCGCACCTCCACGTCGATGTCCAGGAAGCCGCCCTCGGCCACCTCGAAGATGAGGCCCATCTTGGTGCCCGAGGTGACCCGCTCGAAGAAGCACTCCTCGGCGTGCGCGTCGATGCTGACGAAGTAGCCCGAGGCCGTGGCCAGGAGCGCGGCCAGGAGCACCAGCAGCTGCGGCGCGGGCGGGCCAAAAGGCTTCCTCCGCACTTTTGCGCTCAAACTGAAATCCACGTGGATCGCGCTAGAAAGCGGCAGTACCAGGGAATGCTGCCGCCCGATGGAACGTCCTCGTAGGACTGTCCGGGAAGATGTCCAAGCACCTGCAGGCAGCGATGGGAGTGCAGGGAAGAGGAGGTGGGGCTGAGCCCGTGGGCTTTGAGGGATTTTTTCTTGCACCTCTCTTTCCTGAGACCTGGACGAGGAGAGGGGGTGCTGGACGTCCCTGTAGACCCAGAAGGGGCAGGAGACAACCTCCGGAGTGCTGGAAATGCCCTGTCTTCATCTGAGTGATGGATACGTAGGTGTTTATGTAACGTTATTATAAGTCCAGGAGTCTTGGACCCACGAGTAACGTGCCTCGTTTTACTCTGTGGGTTTTAATACCTTAACTACAAGACAGAAAAACAAAAATTAGGATTCTCCCAGTTCTTACAAGTCGTGCTGCCTCTTCATAGCCCCCCTTAGCTCTTGCTAGCTGCTAGAACTCTCTTCCCTCCTTTGTCTCCTGACAAACTCCTACTCATCCCTCAAAACACAACTCAAAGGTCATTTCTAACCATCTCTGAAATGTCCCCAGACATCCTTCTGCCAAAAACTAGCCCCCCGTGCTCGCAATACAGACTCGGTCCCGTGGGATGACCATTACTGACTAGCCTGCCTCGCTCAGGAGGCACCAGTCCTGACACGCGGCCTTGTTCTCTCAGGCCCTACCACGGCCCAGAAAGACCTCCTTGTCACCCGAGAGCTGAGTTCATCGAGCCGGGGAGGAGGCGCCTGGGCTGCTACTCCACCTTCGCAGTAGGTGACCGGAACTGTTTTTCTTCAGCTCGCTGCTCCTTGTCTCTGTTTTTAAAAAGGGGGATTGCACCAGAATGCCTCCCCCGTTTAAGGAACTGTTTCATTGAAGGACAGCAGGCGATAGGGGGCAGTGGTGCTCCGACATCCACCTGCCGTAGGTGTGAAGCAGGTGCACCTGCAGTGCCGAGTCCCTAGCTAGGCAGTGCATCCCTGGGCTCCCGCGTCCTGCTGGCCCCCTGCTCTCCGTCTGCCGTCTGGGCAGAGGCCCTGCTTTCCCCGGCAGGTGGGTTCTGTAGTAGTATGCGGGGGGAGCTGTCGCTGAGACACAGCCCAGAGCCTGCTCCTCCAAGCTTACCCGCATGTTTCGCATGTTTTTTCTCTTCCTCCTCCTTTCCTCCCCTTCCCCCTCCTCCTCCCCCTCTTCTTTCTTCAATTTTGTTTCATTTGCTCACCAGAAAGGGAGGGAAAAGGAGAAGGCACTGCGCATGGAGGATGATCACACTGCAGGCTCTTCTTGAATTCTGGCGCACGCGCGCGCACACGCACCCAGCCCCTGGGGCCAGGGCAGACCGCGCTGTTGGCCACGTAGGATCCAGCGGCCTTAACCATCATATTACCACCTAGCCCCAACGTGTTCAAAGGCCTCTGCTTCCCCAAATGGATGTACTGGGACTCCATAAATATCTGAGGAATGGTGAATGACCCTCTCAACTAGGGTCTGGCCCAGAACCGACAGGGGGTGCTAGGTGGTCCAGTGAGGTGCAGCACAGAACTGGTCCTTCCTTTATTAATGAGGTGCTGGATACTACCACATGGCCAACCACGGTTCGAGTCCTGAACCTGGTGGCTTGCTTTTTCACTCTCTTTCTCTGTGTGTCTCTCTCTGGTCACATTTAATAAATTAACTAGGCACTAGCAGATGGCGTAATGGCAATGGCTATATCGCTGGACTCCCATGTAGTTGACCACGTTTTGAGTCCCAGACCCGGTGGCTTAAACTCACACCAGGCATGTGTGCATGCATGCCCAAGATCCCGAGGAGGGATTGCAGCGTGGCTAGCTACCCTCCCCCTTGGGGGGGTGATTTCTTGCTTTCCATCTCTCTGTCTTTCTGGTGAGCCTTATAGCAAAAACCTCTCCAAAAATTTAATTAATTAAATAATTATTTAAAAAAAAAAAAAACTCACACCAGGAGTGTGTGTGTGCGTGTCCAAAACCCAGAGAGGAGAATGAAGGGATTGTGGCATGGTCATCTCCCCAGGGGTGATTACTTGCTTTCTGTTTCTCTGTCTCTCCAGTAAGCACACGCCCTATAGCAAAAGTCTCTCTAAAAAAAAAAAAAATTCAACCTTGCGTTTTTTTTTTTTTGCCAGAGGTGCATGCGCTCACCAGAGACAGGCAGACAGACAGAGGGAAAGGAAGAAAGTACCTCACACTGGGGCACGGCCATGCCACAGCCTTCTCTTCCATCTACCCACTGTGTTGGGACTTGGGACACACGTACACATGCACCCAGAGCTGAACCATGGTTGACACTGTGAGCTATGGCTCGCTTAAATGGGACCAGTCCTAAAACACACTCTTTAAAGTGTATGTGGGGGCCAGCAGGTGGCCGGGTGGTCAAGGCACTGGACTTCCACATGGCTGACTGTAGTTTGAGTCTCAGACCCAGCAGCTTGAAAATCACACCAGGCACATGTGCATGTGTGCCCAGAGTCCCAAGAGGAGAGTGGAGGAGAGAGTGTGCCGTGGACACCTGTAGGGGATGATTCCTCCCTTTCCCTCTCTCTGTCTCTGTCCAGCGAACACATTCTAGATAGAGAAAGTCTGATTCGGTGAAATAAAAAATAAATGTTTAAAACGTATATGTATGTGTTGGGCCAACTGGCAGCATGAGGGTTAAGGAGCTAGCTCCTACCTGGCAGCCTGTACTCTTTGAGTCCAGGACCCAACAGCTTGAAAATCACACCAGGCATGTTTGCATACTTGCCCAAAATTCTGAGAAGAGAATGGAGGAGAAGGAATTGTAGCCAGCCATCCTTCTCTCTCCTCTCCCTCTTTCTCTCTCTCCAGTGAGCACATACGCCCTATAGCAAAAGCTAACTACATAAATATACGTGTTCATGGTGTCTAATGTGTTCAGATCATCATCCAGGCATCATCACGCCTAACCCCAAAGCATTTCATCCTCTCAAAAAGAAACACTGCTGGGACCAGCAGGTGGCGTGGTGGTTAGGGCGCTGGACACTCCCACATGGCTGACCAGGGTTCAGGTCCCCCGCACCTGGTGGCTTACTTTCTCACTTTCCCTTTCTCTTTCTCTATCTCTGTTTCTCTCTGGTCAAATTAAAAATAAATGAATGAATAAATACAATTAAATAAATAATTATTGAAGAAAAAGAAAAGAAATGCCACACGCAGTGGCAGGCACTTGCACTGCCACCCACCAGTCACGGCAACCGTCATCCGGCTCCACCTCTGTGACCTGGAGTGGAGTCATGCACTCCGTGGCTCTTCAGGCCTGGCTCCTTAGCGTGCCGTTTTCACGGTTCATGCACGGCAGCACGTCAGCATCTGGCTGTCCTTACGGCGGGAGAACGTTGCACTTACATGTAGGAGGAGTCTGCACAAAGCTCATGGAAATGTGTACTATGCAGACATATGCCAGGCCAGAAGGTGGTGTGGTGGTTGAGGCTCTGGACTCGCACATGGCTGACTGGAGCTCAAATCTCAGACCTGGTGGCTTGCTTTTTCGCGTGCTTTCACTCTCTCTCTGTGTGTCTATCACTGGTGAATTAAAATAATAATTAATAAAAATAAATAATTCTAAAAACACACACACACACACATATATATGCCTAGATTAAACATTTTTTTTTAGATTTTTTTCCTAGAGGGTGCATGTGCTCATCAGAAACACAGGGAGAATGAGAAATCATCCCCCAGGGCAAATGGCCATGTCACAATCCCTTCTCTTCCACTGTCCTCTTGGGATTGTGGGTACACACACACCCAGAGTGATTTGCAGGTGGCCAGGTCTGGGACTTGAATCACAGTGTCAGCCATGTGAGAATGAATCCAGTGCCTTAACCACCACACCAACTGCTGAACCGAGGTTTAAATCTTTTACACAGAAATAAACTCATACTTGAATTCCATTTTCCACAGACTGTCTGGATCCCCTCGCCCCCCATGTCTGAGTTACCCACTCACCTACTGTCGGGCCTCCGGGGCGTTCCTGCATTCTGGCCGCTGTCAGTGATGCCCTGGGCACACTCGGGCTCCCGGGTGTGCAGGGGCGCAAAAACCTTTCCAATTATCTTGTGTGTGTGCTTCAAAGGACAAAACGAAATGTTTCTGCTTGATACCAGAAGCCGGTGTGCCGAGGACAAGGAAACCAGGCGAGAAGTCGAGGTGTCTCTCTGGGTGGCCCCAGTCAGCCCTGAACTGCTGCACCCACGTTCCAGGAGCCACCTCACGCCAGCGGCTGGCCCTC